AATACTTCCTGGATCATTTAATATTCTGCCCAAAGCATCCTTGATTACAGCAACTCTAGGTTTGAATTTGTTCTTCAGTTCCTTGAGCTTAAGAAATTAGAGACTATAAATTACATGGCAAGAGATTGTCAGTCTTTCTCTGATCGGGCCATTGGTGGATTCGAACTACCTGCCTTTGAGTTGGCAGCACAACTCCTGACCAGAGTTCATTCAGAGGTGCCTCAGAAGACAGGCTGGCAGCGTACTTCTGGAAGAATCAGCCCTTGACTCTATGGAACGCAGTTGTACCTGGGACATGCGGATCGCCCTGGGTCAGCACTGACTTGGTGGCGGCTGGCTGCTCATTGCACAAGTAGGGAAGCTGAAGGACTACTACTCAGGTAGCCCTGAGACTGGACTTCAGTGTCCTGGACAGGTGCCTGCTCTCGGGGGTCTTGGCCAGGGAATAAGAATAGTGGAGACCATGGCAGGCTCAGGTCCTCCTTGAGAGCAGCTCACAGGGATGTAAAGGGCAACTTGAGGGCAGGGCGTGGCCAGTGACGCAGGTCAGGGCTAGCCTAGGCCTGGAAGGGAAGGAAGTATCCCTTCTCCTTCCCAGCTCAGAACCTCGCATTCACTGTTCCCCTAACTCACTGTTCCCTGATGTTGTTATCAGGTCACCTGCACCCCCTATCCCTGCCCTGCCCTCCCCTGTTGCATTCTCAGACCACAGCAGCGGGCCTGGGGCCCTAGACACCAAATCTAATTCGTTGAAGGTCTCCCGTCTTCATGATGAGTCAAGCTTTTGTTTTTGTAAAAAGCACAGAGTATTCTCAGGGTCTCCACAATAGATGTGGTTGAGTGTCCCCTCTCAGGATCCACAGCATGGGTTGGCTGTCTCTCCCTCTCGGAACGGCCATGGGGTGTCTGCCCCACACTGGCCCTTTCTGTCTCTGCTTCCCATGTCAAGAGGGGCAGGCGAGGCAGGGCTCTGTACGATTGCGTGCCTGAACGTTGTGTTTGGTGTTCTCCCCCAACCCTTCCCCATCTGCAGCTGTGTCCACACAGCTTCCCTGCTGCCACATGGCTGTGAGAGAGTGAGCGGTGACCTCTCACCCCAACGCCTGAACTGCCACCTCTGCAAAAACGCCAGCACTTCCACCGTGTGTGCTGCTCGTTACACACACGGCCTGGCCCATGGCCTCTGCTGAGTGTCTCTGGTGTCCGTGCATACGTGCTCACATGCACTGTCCCAGACAGGGAAGACCACAACCTAGAATAGCAAAGTGAGCCCTAGGAGTGTGTAGTAACCAAGCCCGGGCCCAGAGCTTTTCTCACCACAGTCAGACTAGGGTTGTGGCCGACAAAGCGCTCACTTCATTTCTTCTTCCTGAACCATGGGGACCTGTTCTTCCCACCCCAACCCCATCTCACTCCCCCACACCATCCCACCCCCCCAACCCCATCTCACTCCCCCACACCATCCCACCCCTAACCCCTCTCAGCCCATTCACACCCCACTCCACCCGATCTCACTCTACCCCACCCCACCATGCTCACCCCATCCCACACCACCACCCTCACCCCATCCCATTCTCCCATCCTCATGCTGGCAGCTCTGTCTCCCAAGCCCCCATTTCATTCAGGATTACCCCACCCAAGACATCCACATTCTGGCTTTGCCCTGACTGATACACAGCTTACACACCTGCTCAGACACTCTGGGCCTCAGTTTCCTCATCTGGCTTCCCTCCAAATTGTCTAAAAACCAGCCATTTGCTATCAGGTTGACACTGACTGGTGGCAACCCCGTGTTCAGCGACTGTCTAGAAGTAGATCAAGTCAAATAAGCCATTCTTCTTAGGCACCTCTGGATGGACTTGAACTTCCAACTTTTTCATTATCATCTAAGCATGCCAGCTTGTAGACCACCCAGGGGCTCTGCTGACTGTTAGCGTACGGTGCTCACAGCTACCGTTTACTGTGCCCCACCTCCTGGAATCAGCGAAGCCCTTGCGATGGCTGTACACTGAGAGGTTTCCATCACCCAAGGATCTGGGGGATTGTGAGTTGGTCGTAATGCACATGTGATTTTAAGGAGTGCCCTGTGTTGCCCTGTCCATTGCAGACCACAGTCATTGACTATGTGAAGCCCTCGGATCTCAAGAAGGACATGAACGAGACCTTCAAGGAGAAGTTCCCACACATTAAGCTGACACTCAGCAAAATAAGGAGGTACGTGCAGACTGGCATCTGCCTGACATTCCCCTTTGGACCCCTCCCCAGCACACATGGAGAGCTCAGACCGTGTGAGTTCTTCCTCCTGTTCTGGGACAGGGCACGTGGTCCTGGCCTGTGAAAAGAGAGAGGGGCCTGGTGGTGGCTGAGCTGGCTGCGGTAGGAGACCCAGGGGCACAAGATCTGGGGGTCTGTTTCTTTGAAGAAGACTCATTTCATTCTATCTGACTCGCCAGTTCAAGATTTATGTTACTGAAAACTCAGAATGAGAAGCCATCAGCTCTCTGCTTTCTCAAATGTAGACAGAACTAGAGAGAAAGGAGTTGATATAGCAGAGTGTGGGATCCGTTCTTCACCCCTAGTCATCTGTCCAGACGTGGCAGCCACCACTTCAGCCCCAATACAGGCCCATGCCCCCCTGACAGCGGATGGCATCAGTGTGTGATGTGTGACTTCACTCTCCCGTTCCCAGTTCCCAGCAGAGAAAATGCTTTCAGGCTGGCGGAGTCAGTTCCTCCAGGTTCTAACGAGACCTCCTCTTCCCTGTCCTCTAGTCTCAAACGGGAGATGCGGAAGCTCGCCCAGGAGGACTGTGGCCTGGAGGAGCCCACAGTGGCCATGGCCTTCGTCTACTTTGAGAAGCTGGCCCTCAAGGGGAAGCTCAACAAACAGAACCGGAAGCTCTGTGCCGGAGCCTGTGTCCTGCTGGCGGCCAAAATTGGAAGTGACCTCAAAAAGCATGAAGTCAAGCATCTGATTGATGTAAGTGGCCCACGTGCTGGTGGTGAGGCACGCCCATGCTGCCCTCCAGGGCTGTTTCTTGAGTGACCCTGCCTCGGAAGGTCTTTCTGAGGTAGCTCCAGGTGTCACATCTAAGGTGGTTGTAGAATGGGAGGTGAGCCACTTGACGAGGCTGGAGATGGCCAGCATGGAGCCTGGCCCCAGAAAGCAGAGAGGGTGAACTTATTCTCATGACTACAGATGGCACTGAAATTGTGAGGATTGACCCACATGGCATCTGTCAAACATGTTGCCTCGGCTGGTCTTCACGTCCATGTTGCCCTGGCTGGGGAAGGGCATGGGCTTGGCTTGATGGCCGTCCTGTGATAGGAAAGCTCCTTCAAAGCAAGGAGGCACTGACTTCTTGTTGTTGTTATTGTTGTTGTTATGTGCCGTTGAGTCACTTGCGACTCATAGCGACCCTATGTACAACAGCCCTAAACTCCGCTCTGTCCTGTGCCAGTCGCACCGTCTCTGACACTCCTATCCCGATTACCCCAGTCACTGAATCAATCCACCTCATAGAGGGCCTTCCCCTCCTGCTCTGTCCCTCCATCCTCCCAAGCATGGTGTCCTTCTCCAAGGACTGGTCTCTCCTCACAACATGTCCAAAGTATGTTAGACGGAGCCTCAGAATCCTTGCCTCCAAGGAGCCACCCAGTTTAACCCTTTCTAGGATGAATCTGTTTGTTTTCCTAGCAGTCCATGGTACTCTCAATACTCTCCTCCAGCACAACAGCTCAAAGGCATCAGTTCTCCTTCTGTCCTCCTTGGTCATTGTCCAACTCTCTGATGCATAACAAGTGATTGCAAAGACCATGGCCTGTATCAGACGCACCTTAGTCTCCAGAGAGACACCATTGCTCTTCAGTACTTTGGAGAGGTCCCTAACGGCAGACTTTTCCATGGCAATGCACCTTTTAATTTCCTGGCACTGACTTAGACTAATGTATATATGCTTACCCTGTGTCCGCCTGTGTTCATTGGCAGAAGAGGAAAGCCAGATGGAAAGTTACTGTCACAGTCTCTCTCTTTCTCTCTCTCTTATACGCACACACACACGCACATGGCAATCATGATTTTGTACCGTCTCTGGTACCAAAAAACCAGAGATGGTGCAAAGTCATCCAGCTTGTACAGTGAATGGAGAGCCTTGGTGGCAGAGAAACCCCACGGGGAGTTTACTAACTCCACGGCTGATCCACTTCTCTGGCGGTTCAAATCCACCAGCCAGTCCTCAGGAGAAAGATGTCCATTCTCCTCCAGTACAGTTTATGGCCTCCTGAAACCCACTAGACTGTCAGCTGTGAGATGGTCTGACTCCACACCAAGGAGGGGTTTATGTACGTGATTACTTAGAGGAATGTGAAAGTGACCATTGAACACCAGTCTGAGCTGCGACTCAGTAGACGTAAGACTTGCTAAACTGGAGAATCTTCAGAAATGACAAAGAATAAAAATGATAAATGGTACCATGCATGGTTAAGCATGGCTGAATGAATAATAGCCCACAGCAAATCTAATCGTATTAGTAAAGATTGTAAAGCTGCTGGTTTGCAGTAACAATCTAACACAAAAGCCCATCCAAGTTAACACTTGATTGCACTTAGCAGCCATTCATGGGCTGGATTTATTTTATTATTATTATTTTTATTATTACTACTACTACTACTATACAACATAGAGAGAGACCGGTTTGCCTAGTAGACAGAAAATGATTCTACCAAGCCAAAGGTGGGTGACTAATCTACGGCCCTCAGGCCTGTTTTCAATTGTGTTTGGACATTCTTCTACGTCATATAGCCCAGGTGTGTCCACTTGCCATACAGACGTAACTTGTGGACGCTGTAAAACCAAACACTGTGACACTAATGTGTCAAATGTGAAAATGGTTACCCACAGTGGACAGTGTTTGGTGGAGCTCCCCGATTAAAACAAGCTTGGAAGCAGGAGTGGCATCCACTTCTGTAATAGCTTGCCTCCAAAAACCCTATGAACCTAGAGAAAGGATGAAAGTCATGCAGGTGTCTAGGACTTTCGTTCATAGGGTCGCTAGGAGTCGCCTACAACTCGACGGCACTTAACAACAACAATATTATTATTGTTGTTATTATTATTATTATTAATTAATTATTATTATCTGGTGGCCTAGTGCAAGTCTGAAGGCACACAGTTCAAATCCACCAGGTGCTCCATGGTTAAAGGATGGACAGTCTCCTCCTGCGCAATTAACTACCTCTGAAAACCAGCCAGAAAGTCAGCTATGGGTCGATTCCAACTTGACGTACACCACCACCACCACCACAACAACAATATTTAGCTAAAGCTGACAGTAAGGCCAAGCAGAATGTGCCCCAACAAAACCTCGGCCTTCCCCTTCTGTGGTGCAGAGTCGCTGAGTCACAATCAATTTAATGACATCTAACAATATAAGGTTTCTGAGACCTTAAATGTTAACAGACACAGAGTGTCACCACCTTCCTTCTCCAGTAGAGTGGCTTGTGGGTTCGAACCGTCCACCTTTCCATTAGCAGCCAAGCACGTTACCCATGCACTGCGAGGGCTTCTTGATAGAGACGTCACACACAAATTACACCCTGGATTTTTATTTCAAAGCTAAAATGCCTTTTGGTTTTCTCTCATGTTGCCATAGAAACTGGAAGAGAAGTTCCGGCTGCACCGACGAGAACTCATTGCCTTTGAATTCCCGGTGCTGGTGGCCTTGGAGTTTGCACTCCACCTGCCTGAGCACGAGGTCATGCCCCACTACAGACGCCTGGTGCAGCGCCCCTAGCCCAGGCCTGCGGGGGGCGCAGACCCGCGGGGCCAGGCCTCCCTACCCGCCTGCCGAGCTGCAGAGCCTACTGGAAATGCACACACAGAACTCAGAAGAGCACGCTTCGGCTTCACTCTCGACGTATTTGTGTAGACTCAGTACCGGGAACCCACAGGGAGTCTGGCCTGCCTGGCCGAGAGGAGCTGTACACCGTCTAGTATCCAGAGCGAGAGGCGGGACGCTGCGTGCTGAAGGCAGCCAAGTGCCGCCCTCGCCGCCCTGGGCCACAGCCACCCCGTCTCATCCTCCTGGGCACACACACACCTGACGACAGTGGTCCAGGCTGGCTCTCCAGACGTCCTCCCACTCAAGAGTGTGAGGTGGCGAAGGAGAGAGGGGAAGAGAATTTGCAGAAGCTAGGGGAAGCTTTTAAAAACGCCCTTGCTGTGTCAAAAGAGAAAGAGAGTGCCAACCTATTTTTGTATCAGCTACTGGAAGTGCACTTTCCCCTAGGAGTATGGGGGTCTGAAGGATGAGAGAAAGTGTGTGTGTGTGTGTGTGTGTGTGTGTGTGTGTGTGTGTGTGTGTGTGTGTGAGAGAGAGAGAGAGAGAGAGAGAATTGAGAAATACTGCATCAGTTCTAGACCCCATTTACACTGCAACCCTCAACTATGGGTCAGCAACCAAGCCAACCTTCAGTGATTATTTCTAAATAATCTTCGGATTCATCAGAATCAGACTATTTGGACACCCCCTGCTTTTCCCAGGATGACATCCTTTCTGTTACTTCCGACAGCAACCAATGAGACAAACAAGATCCGCCTCTGGTGTGAGGCCCGGGTGTGTGGCACAGCCGTTGCCTGTGGCTTTGGGTGGCCTTCCCAACGTCCAGTGGGCATGGCCCCGTGGACAAGTATTCAACCCTCGCACTTTTCCACTGGGGCGGCGAGGGTGGCCTCCATGGTGTGTACCCTGTGCTCTATGTTAGAGCGCTTAATAAGCACATTAATTGTGCTATCTGTTAAAAAAAAAGTTTTCTAAAAATGAGTACTAGTAAGGACAAGACCGTGATTGGCGATGTGCGGCTCCCCGCAGCCAAGAGATTGGGACGTGAGTGGAAGCCGTCTGTTAAGGAGGCGGTGGCTCCCAACAGGCACGCGTGGCCCCGGGAGCTCTACACTATGGTTCCGGCGACAGCAGTTCTTCCCAGCCACGTGCTCAGAGCACCTGTACCTGCAGCAGGTCACCGCACAGTCACCTCCCTGCAGCACAAGAGAGGTGGGGCACCTCCGACCCAAGAAAGCCTTCCATCTCGGTGTAAAAAGAAAATTAAACTATTTTCTTGTTTCATATGTGCACATATGTGTATACATCTGTATCCTGCCAGCAGCCCTTTGCCCTGCATTGCTCGTTCATCTGCCACCGTTTCTAACCCAGATTTGTCACAAATTGAGAGCTTTTCACGTCACTTCAGAAAAAGGGGGAGAGGGAGGTGAGTGTAGTGAGCAGAGCTTAGAAGAGTCAGATTATCGCACAAAATGGTGAAATCCAACAGCAGCTGGTGAGAGGAAACTGGAGTCTTAACCACAGTTAGTCCTCGGTATTTTGCTGACAGTCCCCTGCAGGAATCAGCTGTAAGGCAGCACTGGTGGTTGGGAGGACTATGCCCTCTGGCTGGTCTCAGGCTCACCAGTATGGCCCTGTGTGTGTCTGGGGAAAACTGCTCTCATGGGGTTTCTGGCAGATTTTTTCAGAAGTCACCTGCAGCTAGTCTTTTAAGGCGTGTGAGGCTGGGCTTGACCCTCCAACCTTTAGGTTAGCAGCTGGGGAAATAACAGTTCCCACCACCCAAGGACTCCATGCTAACCCCACTAGTACTTAAGGGGCACCAGCTTCTTGTAAGGCATATTGGGAAGTAAAGTGTTTAAAACATCTCCATCACACAAACTACAAAGTGCCCTTGACCTTCCTCCTATGCTCTCAAGTCCAGATGGCATGGACGGGGACCTTGCATTTCTCAGATAATCACCCTCACTGTCCAGTGAGTGCCCAGTGGGCACATTTGCAAACAGCAGGGGCACTGGCAGCAAGAAGAAGCTCCACCATGCAGCCGCCTCAGGGCTTCTGCTAGAGCTGGGGTGTCAGTGGGAGAGAACCTAGGACTTTCCCGTGTCTTACACATCAAGTTAGTGTTCTGAATCTAAGAGGATTTATTTTATCTGTTCTCATTTTATGAGAACTCAAGAAGTTTCTGGATGCCCCACACATACTGCTTTTTTGGTTCATTGTTTTGGAGTCGTCCCCCCTTCCCCAAGACTTACTTTTAAACTACTTGGCCTTTAAGTTTCATCCGTGGAGTTATGTTGAGATTAATGCAGTTGCATGAGATCCAGGAAAGCATTTTGTTGAGAGAGATTCTCTTGTTTGCCCATACCATGACCTGAGAAGGTGGAGGGATGTCGGCCACTGCCAAAGCTGCTCCAGCAATATGCTTTCTAGAAAATTACACACACACACGCACACACACACACACTCTTTGAGTGCTGGGAGCCTGGTGGCAAGAACTCAAAGGGCAACTGGAGCCCTGCAGCATGCTGGTTCTGGAACACCCTGACACCCAGCCCTTGGACTCTCCACAGATGGCAAGCCAGCCCTGCCACACTGGGGCCTGCCCAGCTGCCCTGAAGTCAGTCCATTCTCCTGGGCACACGCAGCGACTGCACCTGTAGTTGTGCCTACCTGCTATCCCCACAACTTGTCTGGGGAAGACATGGCAGTGGGGGGGGGAGCATCTATAGCCCTGACTATTGTTAGAGCAGAGCTGGGAACCAATCAGCTCTGATCACGGGCAAAACCACCAGGTTTAAGTTCACATCGCTCTCCATGGTTCCTCTTGCATTGATTACAAATTGCCAAGGAGGCAGGTCGGCTGCAGGGTAAAATTTTATTATCCAGAGATGCCTGAGGGGAAAGAGGGATGAGGGATGCTGCAGCAGGAGCACGCAGGAGTTGATTTGTGGGGTGTATTTGTGAGGAACCCCACCACCACAGCGGGAGATGGCTTATCTTTCTTTGCAGAGCACCTGGCAGATTCGAACTTGGTGCCTTTGGATTGACAGCACAATTCTTTATGACTTGGGAACAATTTATTTGAAAAGTCTGTTAACCAGGGCACCAGAATTAGATTAACAAGAAACCATTGACAGGAGCTTCTTTGGGCGGATTAAACCTTGAGTACAATGGCTGACAAGGGAAAGAACAGGAACGGCAGTATTGACCAAGTGTGCTCCATGGGAGGGCTGTGGTTAGGCACTTCAAACACATTTTCTCACTTAACCAATAAACTACAATTAGGTATCGTGATCCCATTTCATAGATGAGGAAACAGAGGCTCTCACAGATTACTTGCCCAGTGTCTCACAGTCGGGAAGTGGCAGAGTCTGCATTCTGTCTGATTTGAAACCCTAGCCAGCGTGCCTGCCTCCAAGAAATGAAGCTGAGAGAGGCCAAGGCCAACCTGAAGTCCAATGGCCCCCCGAGCTTTGGCATTGCTCAGCTCAGGTTAGATGGGGCCTCAGCTTCACCCCTCTCAACAACCACCAGCTCCTCCTATGCAGAAGGGAAAAAGAATCTGAGTTGTCGGGTTCCTAGCAGCCCCCCACTCTTGGCTGTGAACAGCGTTCATATCTGTTTGGGGATCCACTCTTCCCTCTGGTTGAATGTGTGCTTTCTGGGAAGTCTGCTTCCATGGCAGGTGAGCTGAGAGACTCAGGAAGCAGGTGGAGAGGTGTTTCACATGCCTATGTGGGCATTCCTTCTTGTGTCCTCATGGACGCGTATTCTCTGCTCCCCGGTGCCTGCCTTGGGTATGCCCTCTAGTGTGTGGCTAGGGAATGCAGATTTGTTTGTCCTAAACAGGTGTGTGGGCAGTTGGCCCGCTGGAGGGCACCCACGGGTGACGGCAAAGCCCCAAGGAAGGGCTTAGGACCTATGAGTACATGGTCGATGGACTAGAAATGGGGAACTGGGTGACTAAATGTCATGTTTTACCAGAATCTCTCACTGTCATCACGTCTAAATAAGAAACCACCCTGGCTTCAAGAGAAAGAAAGCTGACCCTTCCCTCTGAAGCATGGCTTAGAGTACCTGACGAAGCCTACGTGCTATTCCATGAAACTGAGCCAGATAACATTTTTTTTCCCTAAGCCAGCTGCCTTCGCCCATGAAACCAACATTTTTTTTCCCCTAAGCCAGCTGCCTTCGCCCATGAAACCAAATTTTTTTAACATTTTTAGGTTGGTATTATAACATTTATTGAAATAATGCTATGGGTTAATAGAAACAGCAAAGAACCAAAGAATTATAATGCAAGCTATGTAAATTCCCAACTAAAATCCAAAAGGGTCTAATGTATTCATTCAGCAGCTAACTAAAAGCCCAAGACAGACAAGACACCCACGTGATAGAGTACTGCAAAACAATTGGCAATTTTCAGTTATCAAAGTTGTGCATTTTGTATCCTTTTCTCTGACATGAAACCAATTCTTAAGAAACAAGACACAAATGGAGTACATATTAGAGAAAGGAGCAGAGGCCTGGACAGTACACAACCTGAATCAGCAGGTCTGGGGCTGAGGGAGAGTTTTTCAAGGCAATCGGCTATGGGAGAGGAAGAAAAATGCTTCGGGGCTGCCAAACCAGGCATCTCCAGTGGGAACAAATGGCATGTGTGGTTGGGATTGTGTCGTCTATCAAAGGGGCTGGGACTGAGATGGTACAGTGAGCACCTGGCCCATGGCAGCCCTACAGCAGGCACTCAGTGTTGTAGTTGTTAGGTGCCGTTGAATCAAGTACGACTCACAGCGACCCTGTGAACAGCAGATCTGGACACCATCCTAGCCTGTGCCCTCTTCACACTTCTGAAACCTTAGAGCCTATCACAGTAGTCACTGTGTCAATCCACCTGTTTGAGGATCTTTCCTTCGCCGACCCCCCACCCTTCCAAGTACGATGTCCCTCTCCAAGGAATAGCCCCTCTTAGCAACATGCCCCAAGTATGTGAGGTGAAGCCTCCTCGTTCTTGCCTCCAGAAAGCACTCTGGCTGCACCCTCTCCAAGACATACTTGTTTGGTTTTGACTGTCCATGTTCAGTACTTTTCTCCAACACCACAGCTCAAAGGCATCAATTATTCTTCTGTCATCTCTATTCATTGATTCACAGATGCATAGTAAGTGATCAGAAAGACCATGGCCTGAGTCAGAAGCATCTTAGTCCTCAGAAGAAATTGAGAATTTTTACCAAATCTTGCAGTTCAAAATTGACCAAACATGCAATCAGGTTATATTAATGAAAATTGGTGACTGGAATGCAAAACTTGGAAACAGTGAAGAAAGAATTGTTGTTGTTATGTGCCATCAAATGGCCCATGACTCGTAGCAACCCTATGTACGATAGCTCTGAAGCCTGCCCTGTCCTGAGACAGTCTCACTGTTTCCAACACACTTACCCTCATTGCCCTAGTTACTATATCAATCTTACCTCATCCAGTGTCTTCCTCTCCTGTGCTGTCCCTCCACCCTTCTGAGCATGATGTCCTTCTCCAAGGATCAGCCAGATTCAGTACTAGGTGGAAAGGCAGGTAAAATACCTAATGGCCTCAACAGTGGGTGCTGCAAGTATAAGAAGGGAGGCAGCATTCCGCTTTGTCATACGTGAGGTCCCTTGGCTGACTTGATGGTGGGAGGGAGGGTGAAGTCGAGCGTAGAGCAGAGAGAGGGAAGGTCCAGGTCCTTGAGGGCCCAGTGGGATGGGCAGGCCACCCTGCAATTTACTGCCTCTGAAAATCCACAGGTTGGTCAGATCTGAGTCAGTTCTGGCCTGATGGTACACACACCAACACCAACAACAAAGGGAGCCCTGGTGGTGTGCTGGTTAAGTGTTGGGCTGCTAACTGCAAAGTTGGCGGTTCAAACCCACCCACTGCTCTACAGGTAGAAGATGAGCCATTCCCTTCTGTGAAGATGAACGACTTACTTCATCCTACAGGTCACTATGCAGGATTTGGTTAGTTAGGTGTGGGATGGGGTGAGCATGTGTTTCCAGGGAGCCGAGGTTTGCAACTAAGTGATGTGAAAGTCAATTACCACGAGAAGGTGGAGGTTGTTCCAGCATCCCTCAGCAAGAGCTCTACGTCGGAGCCCGGCTGCATGAGCCTAGAGCCATCTTCTGACAGAGATGTGCCCCTTCTGTAACTGGTACAGCACCCCCACACTAGTCACCGCCTCCCCACACAGGGAAAGAGCCCCCGTGGCACGGTGCATTATGAGTTGGTTTGCTAACTGAAAGGTCAGAAGTTCACATTCACTGGTTGCTCCACCAGACAAAGATAGGCAGTCTCCTCCCATAAAGATCTGCAGTCTTGGAAACGCAGGGGAAGGGCATCATGAATTGAGATCAGCTAAATGCAGGTAGGTTTGGGATTGGTTTGTTGTTGGGGTCTTTTCTTCCACAGGGAGGTTGTTACAGATTAAAAAAAAAAACCAAACCAAAAAACAGTGTCCTTCACTAGTGAATGATCCTTCCCTGGTTATATCCAACCTAAGTCAGTGGGAGCCTCAGACAGTCGCCTGGGGTCTCCGGGGTCACTGTGCCCATGAAGATGAGGGATGCACTCAGTGAGGTGAACTGACGCTGTGGTTGCAACACTGGACTCGAGCATACAACAAACATGACGTTACCACATGACCTTCTATTAGGCTTAAGGTTAAGTAGCATAGAACGGAAGCAAGTAACAGCAACGGGTGGGAGGGCGGGTGGGAGGGAGGGTGGGAGGCCCCACTCCTCATCCTTGCCCCGACTTCCCACACTGTCTCCTCAGTCAGCAAGGGCAGGACCAAGTCAAACACTGTGGGTGTGGCTGCATTTCAGAGCATATTTTACACACTGAATGTAAAGTGAAAGCCCACACAAGTTTAGCTAGTTAGAAATGTCAGATCCAATTCAAGATTCCTGGATACTTCCTGGTCTTTCCTGCCTTTTCTCCTGGGCAGGTCTCTCAAAGCCTCAGATGGTTCTTCTCCCAGGCTCATCCCAACTCCCCAGCCTTCAGAAGGGGCTGTATATCCAAGGAATTCGTCCATCTCCTGATTGGTCCAGGGTTGTCCCTCTTCTTGCTGCCAACCCACCCACCTGCCTACTTCCCTCCATCTCCTCCTTCCTGGATCTCATCCTCCCTGATCCATCTTCTCCCTCAGCTGTACGTTCAGCATCTCCTGCCCCTGAGCGTGCGTGCACACGCACGCACACACCCCACTCCCTCTGCAAAGCTCCTTGTGGTGCTTCCCAACCTATGTGTCCCTCACATGCCCCTAGTCCACATTCCCCCTTCATACCCACTGGGTAAGGACTAATCTCTCCAAGCACATGGAACAACCCACAATGTCAGTGTAAGGAAACCCTTTGGCAATCTAGCTTGGGAAGTCACTGCAATTCCCAGTCACCTCTTGAGGGTGGCAGGTCTGTGTCACAGCCGCATGGCTCATAGCAATTCCTGAGACCTCTTTTTTAAAAAAAATTTTTATTTTATATTGGTTTGCTTACAAAGTTCATATACACTGTATTTCACACTATTCTTCATTCACATTGTGTTTCATACAATCATTCCCATGCATTATGTTTTATAAAATTAATCACCGTTAGACTATGCCACTCATTACCTCATCTTTTCAGGTCCCTAACTTTCCTATTTCCTTTACCCCCTCCCTCCACCCACCAAATTGTGCAACCCTGTGGTTTCGCCCCTACCCATCCCCACCCCTCTGCTGCCACCCTTTTTCCCCCTAGGTCCCTGTACATGTTTTATTAGTTATCCTTCTATTTTTTACACTGAGGCCTCATTTTTAAAAAATGTGTTGGTTTGCATA